CAACACTTACATGCTCCTTGTGGTGAATACCCAACCCGTATTACCTCATCAATCAATAGTTTATCACCGTTTAACATTCGACAATTTCATGCTGGTATGTTCCTTTGAATTGACTTGTCATCGTCACTGAACAATCAATTTCGAAGAATGTCACAGGTCGCATTCATTAAACTATTGGATAGCGGAATATGACATTTGACACCAGATTTTAAGCAATGTCCAGCTTTAACTGTAGTACTCACTGCCTACTGTTTTTGCCAAACTTTCACCAAACTGGAGCCTCACTATAGCCTGGTCTGTACAATGATGAATTATGCAGCGATCCAACACAGCAAAGAAGACAGAACAAACAGATCACACGTAGTGATAGAGGATTGAAACAGCAAAGTAAACCGCGGGATGTGAGGTGTGTTTATATTAGCCACAACTATGTTTTGTAGAAGCAATAACGATGTTGTGTTACAGCAATGTCAGTAATGCATTAAACTCCTCACCATATCTTAACAGCTCAAGTGCTAGATCTACATACGGTGCTTAACCTGCAGTACAAGGCGGTAAGAAAATTAGGTTCTATTTAGTTCAAATATCAGTGAGTGAGTGAATTTAGTTTTACGCCGCTTTTACCAATATTCCTGCAAATTACGGCGGGGGACACAACATGTGAACTGGGGCGGTGGGGTAGCCTAGTATTTAAAGCATTTGCTTTCACGCAGAAGACCCGGGTTCGATTCCCCACATAGGCACAATGTGTGAAGCCCATTTTTGTTGCTCCCAGCCGTGTTATTGCTTGAAATGTCAGAATTTCTGCTTTGCAAAATTGACACTTGGAGTCTTTGTGCTTCTTATCGACTTTGCTCCTGTTAGATTTACAAATCTGCCGATCGATCTCAAGCTTTGACCTGCTCCATTTCCGCTCTGCTGGACGTCTTTCACATTTGGCACTGCTGGCGTGTTCAGTGTCTGACAGTCTGTCTGGAGAAAACGTCATATTTTATCAATATAGTTTAAGCAACATTTTTTCGGTAAAACTCAGAGACTCGATGCGGTGTGTCACATTACTTAAACTTGTCCATGAGCTGTAATTAGTACTACGCTCCTTGTATAGTAATAAGCAGACGGGTTGAAATTGAACTGTCGGTTGGTTCGACATGTCGCGATGTGATCATCGCTCTAATGCACCTAAGAGATTATCAAGTGGACTGCACAGGTGGTGAAAGTTGTGTTGTGTTGAATCGATTGTATCCTGTTGAATTGTTTCGCGTTTTCCTGTCCGTTTGTATGTCATGTGTGACTGAGGAAGCTAGCGTATTATTACTTTGAAATTAAGCTGAACTTTATATTGTTCCATGGTCGCAGAGTTGTGTGTACATACGCTCATATATAATATCTAAACTGATAGTTAAAAATCAGACCGTTTGTAAACATAGTGACTGTGAACGAAAATTATTTCATACTTCAAAACGAATTGGAACAGTAACATTTTTTATGTTATCATTTACAGCTTAAAAACATTGAATGAGATAAATACTGTGTGATAAAATGGATGACAATGGCATAAATGACGTTTTAATGACATATGTAATTGGGGGAAATATATACCATAGATCACGGTAGATTTATATCTAATATGTAAAGATTCGGTATTTCTAAGGAACTGAAATAGGTGTACAGCAAATACTAATGAGCTTTTTTACATTCTCCTTGACTGGTAGATATATGTAGTCTATGAATTGAGAGCGAAGACTATGCTCAGCAATACCTACGGCTTCATCATGACAGTTTGAAATATTCAAGTTCAATCTGTAAACAATGGCTTGAACATGTACCACTATCGGGGCATTATGACAGGTGATCAGGCACCTCACCATGTAAGTGATCCTGTCTAGCTATTTAATGCGTCACTCTTATATGACGCTGAACTCCACCCTGCACGGGAATGCCCTGAGCGCATACAACAGTTAGATGGTTGTCCGTAATTTTGGAACAGATTGGTCTTTAGACCAAATTTAATAGCAGACAAGGAAGATGAGCATATGAGGTGAAGGAACATAGAGTTCCATGGCACACCACAGCACGTTGGAATGATCAGACACCGAATGTCTTGGATAATTCACCGCAACCCGTATAAAGGTACAGAAAGGAAGAATTTGCTAGATTCAGTTTCTGAAGGCTCACACACCACTCTGAGTTTGAAGACTTGGATGGGACAAAGTCGTAGCCAGAGAAGTGATATGAATACCGGCTGGATGTGTTCCTTTGGCTTAGTCTTATGAACTAGCCTTGCAGATGTATTCTGCAAGTATTGCAGTCACAGAAGACGTGGTTGCAGTTATCCAGGCGAGAAAGAATAAGTGGTTCGTAGTAGGAAGATGACAAATTCAAGTGACAAATACAAGTTCTGCAAAGGTACCTAATGTCATCTTCCATGTTAGGGGCGAGGCCACACCTTTATTGCACTGTGATATTGGAAAGGATTCCTGACCAATCGTTAGAATGTTGACACAACATTTCGGAGAGGAGTAGAACATATACATAGCTACCACAGCCTTAACTTACGTGAGCGAGTGAGTTAAGATTTAAAGTCACATCGGCAATATTTCAGCCATATCATGACTAAAACTAGTTCTAAATTCATAATACATACATATAATATATAACACCCTGTCAACGAAGGAGAGTAAAACCACTAGATTATCACATATTGAGTTAAAACTAGCTAGCATATATCTTTAAGAGTAGAAACTTGTTTTTGGACAATACAATGTAAAAATGGGCTATAGACTTAACTTAAGTTTGACAATGTTATCCTATATCCCTGGCTTCACAGTAGGACAGAACATACACCATGTTTGCCATCAATGTCATTATCCAGATTAAGACAAGGGAATAAAACATTATATCCTATGGTGTCAAATGTGGCTGAAAGATCAAGTAGCTCCAACACTGTATATTTATCTTTACCAACAGGAGATTGTTTTTCACAGAATGCAAGGCTGTTTCTGTGCTATGGGCAGTCTGGTATGCTGATTGGTATCACATCACATACACACAGCCCCTTAGATGCTTGCCTTATTCTCGACTTGCCGTCTTAGAAAGAGGTGTCTGAGCATTATCTAATATGTGTTCATCGAGGGGGGAATGCGCAGGGCCCAGGCAACTTGGTGACTTTCACGAATGTTTCAAGGTCACGGCGACACTTTGAAGATTTCAGCATGTTAAGCTTGTCAGCAAGATATCTCAAGAATTGTGCACTGGATTTTCCTCATAGACTTTCAAGACTTCTCTTAATTTATAACAAAGTAGTAATATCATCATTTAAACATTTCTTCAGTTATTATTGTTATAAGGTTAAAAAAGGCATCTGTTATACAAGAAACACACACAAATTCGTTAGTGAGGATTACGGTGATTGCATCAGAAAAGCAATGCTATTACGGCTTGGTAATAAATTAAGGGATCAAACAACAGGATAAATCTCAGTGGCAGAACAGGAAAGTCCTTTTAGGTATTAATGAACAATGAATCACCGATGAGAGTTACCGTCAGCACTAGAAAGTAGTGCGGGTTACAAAGTCATCAGAACGTTCGCATCGCGATCGATATCCATATCTGGTGAAGAGCTTGCCCCATCCTGTCCAGACCACGCACCTTGTAATGAAGAGAGGGATCGAGTAAATCTATGTGAGTATAAAACCTGGTGTTGAGTTATTCATTGTATGCCAGAGTGCCAGCACCTGAATGAATGAGTTTATTGAGGAGTTACAGTCGTCTGACCTCTCACTCCTAGACTTAACATCCCCATGGACCAAGCGAGTGTGTAACTTGAGCTTACATCTCCCCTGACAATGCGGAACGGCCAGCTTAATAGGTAACTGGTTATAGGGTTTACTAACACCCAAATCCCAGTTACGATGGTGGAGATTGCGGGTTCTTCTTGAACAAAATGTTCAAGACGATCCCTTTCGTTGTTTTCCTCAGGGTCGTTCCTACCCTTTTGTTCCCTTGCATTGACGTTTGACGGTAGGTTCCCTTTTTTGCGACTGGGATATGTTATCCGTAGTTTTCCCTCAAGCTATTTGGACTTGTAATGCCTCGTACACACGATTCAGATTCATCTACGGCCTATGACAGTCCGGTCCAATCTCGTCCCATCACTTCTAACATTTTTACTAATCCAGTCCGACGTGGCATAACACAACCACCGTTTCACCCTCTATCTGCTTCTCGAGACATCTCTCTATCTCTTTCTCTGGAGGATTTAGACTTGTCACTTTTCAGTAACGAACATCAGCACCAGGCCTGTCTCCCTGATCTGTCCTCTTTAGATTTGTCATCATCTGTCAATAGTTCTTATTCTGCCCCTGACTTCAATATGGGTGACTCCACTTTAATGCCAGAACATTTCACAGGTAGGGACACGTCTCATGCTGCCGAGTGGCTTGACCGTTTCATTCATTTTAATAACTTCAAAAGGTGGACTAATGCGCAGAAAAAAATTTCCCCTGTTTTTAAAGGACGCGGCATATCTATGGTACAGAGATCTGATAGCATCGGCACAGGAAGAAATTCCCCATTTTGATGAGATTGAGAAATTGTTCAAGGACAAGTATGTCCATCCGACTGACCGTTGGGCCCTTTTGGAAACTTTTGTGAGTCGAAAGCTTTCCCCTAAGGAAGCTATAGATACTTATTTGGCAGACTTGACCGAAACGGCTAGCTTGTTAGGAAAATCATGGACGCGATTGTTAGGGGACTGGATGACAATACTAGGCGACATGTTTTAATGAAACAGCCAACTGTGATTAATGAGGCGGTCTCATTTGCGCGACTGGCATAGATTGGTCATCCCTCAGTCTGAAGACAGTACGGACGTTATGCTCGCAATAGATACGCTGAGAGGACAGATTTCTGAACTTTCGGCAAAACTCGCTCCAGTATCGTCACAGATCAATACTGACAGAATCAAAGTCCCCACTTTCCGAGACAATCCAGGTATACAGATCGACCGTGGCAGCCCACTCCTCAATGGACAGACCCCATTCAAGGACACAACATGGCCCGTGGAAGGCAGTGTTACAGATGCGGTGGTGAGTATGATTTTTCTCATTCTGATAGGTGTCCCGCGCGGAATGTTCAGTGCCATTTCTGTCAAAAGATTGGACATTTTCAAAGAGTATGCAGGGCTAGGTATCAGTCAAGTATCCCAACTGGCAGATAGCAATTACAGTCAAGACCACGCAGGAAATTTTCCCATTGTGCTGAACAAACGTTCGACCATACTTATTTGAAATCACAAGTTTGTATTTCTCCTCGTTACAACCAGCCTAAATCTAAAGTTTCGCAGACTACATTTGAAAGCGACAACAAGCTTAATACAATTCATGTTGTTTGAGAGAAAAAGTAGATTCAGGCGCTGGTTCTAGTGTTTTAAGCCTGGAGGTTTTCAATGATTCAGGCCTATGGAACGAAATCCCTATTCAAAAGTCAGATGTGCCATCTATTGAAGGGATAAGTCAAAATATAATGCCAGTATTAGGGCAAATTGTACTTCCCATCACTATTGGTGATTTTCAAACAGAACAATGTTTTCAAGTTGTAGCAAATTTTGAGTCTACCATGGTTTTAGGCTTAGACTTCTTGATAAGTCAAGAGGCTGTCATGAATTTTCAATCTTGTACTTTGGCTATTCAAAATGGTTCAACAGTTGTTCCAATGAGGGCAAATGATACATTGCTACCACCTGTTGCTGGTAAACAATCAAAACCTACAGCGTCAGAGCAAATACTTGATCGCTCGCGGCAAGACGCCACAGTTCCTCCCCAATCCAAAATAGAACATTGTCTAGGTTTCACAGTTCAATATCGACCAGGAAAACATGTGCATACCGTAGATATTCTGTCATGCTTTCCGTGCGCAGCAAATTCAGACAATGGTCTCCCCCAGTCGGATAACTACGACAAGATATCGATTCCAATTGCAACAGATATATCATCAGATTTGTATGATGATAGCTCGCTTAGAGTAAGCTCTGTCCCCACAGGAGATTACTCCGAAGCTTATCGGCAATATGACGTCTTCAATCCATTGCCACATCGTACGTGCAAACGACGACGTTATGACAAGCGTACAGGACTAAAAGTTCCTGGCCACGCTAAACGGCATAAAATGGTTGTCAGCCACAAACATAGGCCAACTAACCCATTTCCAGTTGTTGGTCGGTCCGATCACATCCATAAACTACTCAAATATGATAAGGATACGGATTTGATGAGCCCCACTGCTCAAAGATTTACCACGAACAGGCATAACATGTTACCTTGGATTTACAGGAATACTTTGTATAGCAAAATGCATTCGAGCGCGTAGAATATTCAGTGGAAAGAAATACTACAGGATTCATTAGGAGACGTGCACTGTACATGCGGTTACAGATGAACATGAATACAAATTCCCTGAAGGAGATCTATGATTATATGATATTGAAGTCGTTTAATAAGAAATTAACACGTTAGAATTATAGTGTTTCAGACAAATTGTTATAATCAGTTCCCTTTTCAGTTCAGGCACATCAGATTCCATGTTGGAGACGGCCGCTCTAACATTGATGTTTACATGTGTTTTATTTTAGGAATATTACTATAAAGATGCTATGTGCATGGTGCTAGTCCATGCTATAGATCATTCAATACAAGTTTACATGATTCAATTGTCACAAGGTTACAAGACAATAGAAGCGTGCATATATATTGAAATGTGTATTGTATATTGTCAAATGTCTTGTGCATATTCAGAATACTTCGACTGCATACAGTCACGTGTTGGTTGATAATAAATAAGAGAATACATTCCTATTCACGGGTTAGTGACCAAACCCTACAAAGGTTTGGTTCGTGTTGCATACTACTACTTGATGAATTCATTCCCGGGTTACTGACCACAATGTTTAGGTCAGGTTGCATATATTCCTACTACTTCTACGGAAAGGTTACAGGTCGCGCTGTCAATAAGAGACATTCGCGGACCATTACAAAGCGTTTCGCTATGCGTGTATATACGAGAAAAAGAAATGAACTACGATCCAAAGAAATCTGACGATAATGCGTCACATGATGATAAGATATACTTACAAATACAACGATGTTCAATGAAATACGATGATGAACAATGAATTACAGTTACATGACTCGAAAGGAAGTCAAGAGAATTCAGTGTTCAATGGTTATACTGTACGGATACAAATATACGTTCCATGATGAGAAATGTTTTGGTGAAACATGTTGATGCAGTATTTACTACTACTATTGATGTATGTTGCATATTCGCACGGTTACTTGTGTGAATTTACTATTACCTACTTGTGACAATTGGTATCATATTCTTCAGATACAGTCAATTTCTATTTACAGGAAAGGTCTCGAGATGAAAGAATTCTCACCATTGCTCGGTTTCAGAATGCATGGAAACCTTTCGTACAAAGTGTTTATGAGATATCGACATATATGACTTATTTTCAAGTATATATTTATGTTCATAATCCCATTCTTTATATTTTAGCATTCGGGAGTCTCCTTCGATCAGTATTGCGATTGTTTGCATTCAGAATAAACTTTATTTTGTGTATACGAAATTATTCAATTTTGACATTTTTCAAAACAAATGAGTGCATGTATTCCAATACAAAAATGACAGATTTATCCAGAATGCGCGATAGGACAAATTACCAAAACGTTTGGTACGTCCACATTACCTCATTACAATGGTTATTCAGTCGATGTAATAGATGGATGCATAAAACAGGCTGAACAAAAGTTCCCCGCGTACTGAACAGTGGTAGCTAATGACACTGGAATATTAATTCTGTACATTAATGTTCTATAAACGGATTCTCGTACAAAATGAGGAATTCTTTCATTTATTGGATCAATGGGTCGCTCACTTTTTGGCACTGCTGGAGTCGAATATTCAGAACGACTGGTGCAGCATATGAGACAATTATAGTAATATGTAACTAATATTTCTCGTGTTTTTTAAAGTTTGTCAGATGTCGACCGACATGTACCTGACATGGTTATACTGTACGGATACAAATATACGTTCCATGATGAGAAATGTTTTGGTGAAACATGTTGATGCAGTATTTACTACTACTATTGATGTATGTTGCATATTCGCACGGTTACTTGTGTGAATTTACTATTACCTACTTGTGACAATTGGTATCATATTCTTCAGATACAGTCAATTTCTATTTACAGGAAAGGTCTCGAGATGAAAGAATTCTCACCATTGCTCGGTTTCAGAATGCATGGAAACCTTTCGTACAAAGTGTTTATGAGATATCGACATATATGACTTATTTTCAAGTATATATTTATGTTCATAATCCCATTCTTTATATTTTAGCATTCGGGAGTCTCCTTCGATCAGTATTGCGATTGTTTGCATTCAGAATAAACTTTATTTTGTGTATACGAAATTATTCAATTTTGACATTTTTCAAAACAAATGAGTGCATGTATTCCAATACAAAAATGACAGATTTATCCAGAATGCGCGATAGGACAAATTACCAAAACGTTTGGTACGTCCACATTACCTCATTACAATGGTTATTCAGTCGATGTAATAGATGGATGCATAAAACAGGCTGAACAAAAGTTCCCCGCGTACTGAACAGTGGTAGCTAATGACACTGGAATATTAATTCTGTACATTAATGTTCTATAAACGGATTCTCGTACAAAATGAGGAATTCTTTCATTTATTGGATCAATGGGTCGCTCACTTTTTGGCACTGCTGGAGTCGAATATTCAGAACGACTGGTGCAGCATATGAGACAATTATAGTAATATGTAACTAATATTTCTCGTGTTTTTTAAAGTTTGTCAGATGTCGACCGACATGTACCTCTCTAAAACAAATGCTCGTATTTCATCCGCTCCTTAGACACATTAAGGAATTTGCTGGACACATACAAGATGTGAAGAAAGTATGTTCATTTCTATGACAATTTTGTTAGATCGCCCTACATATCTTACAACTATTCGACAAGAAATTGATTAAATGTATTTGGTAATTAAACAGTTAAGTCATCACCATTTGAGTCCATCTTTGCTCCCAATGAAGGAAGTAAAGAAAGTTTTAAACATGATTCAGAAACGTCTTTATGTGCAATATCCGTTGTTTCACGTTGATCATTAGATCCAAGTTATAATTATAGTTAACGTGCTGTTTATTGTTCTCGGACTGGAGAGTCAATTTTAATTTCGCATATTGTTCCTATTCAAACTCCTTGCACTCTCCTCGATGTACATGTATGTCGAATTAGTTCATTCGGCTTACTTATTAATCAATCAAGTCACGCAGGTTATGAATTTACCTGATTATTTGGCTGTTGTAGAAGCGTACTATCACTTTATTGAATGTTCTACTCGAGATTTTCAACACAGACGAATTAAATACTTGTGTCATGTTAAATGTAAATTAAACGGGCTTCGTTCGATGGCTCTCGAAATCGAACAAGGCCTTATTCCTTTCAGTGGTATAAAACTATTATTTTAACTTGCAATGGTCGCAATGAGAAGCGTCCAGCTTGTCAGATTTGTATATTTAAAATTCCTTGCCATTTTGCGTTGAAACGTGATGAATTCGATATAGACATGAGCATTCATAATTGTCTGAAAACACAACTTCAAAATTATAACCAATTATATTTTTACTTATATCGAAATTTTTTGAAACTTTTCAAAAAATTTACAACTTACCTTCGAAAATTATGCTTTTAAAATTACACATTTATGACTTGATAATAACGTGACCATCCGAAAAAGGACAAGAAATTTCACGTTGATTTACATCTTTCTTCCCAGTGTAAGAACGAGCTTATAATGCTTTATAATTGATGGTATTTGAAAATATTCCCTTCCACCAACCCTGTTGTGAGATGATGGTCTCACTATTCTAATTTCCCGAGACTTGACAAAATCAGCCGGAAATCCTCTCACTGATTTTTATATTCAACCGGAATTCCATTCTTAATACTTACATTTTGATTTTTCTTCTTTGCAAATTCCCACCCGTCACAGTCTACATATTTCTGTGAAGAT